GAAACAAACAACTTTATTCAGAAATGGGAAAAGGATGTGAATAGACATTTCTCCAAAGAAGATATACAAATGACCGATAAACATATTAAAAACATGCTCAACATCATTAAACATTAGGAAAATGCAAATCAAAACTACATGCAGCTGGATGCAGTGGCACGTGCCTGTAGTCCCATCTACGTGGGGGGCTGAGGCAGGAGGATTGCTTGAGCCCAGGACTTTGGGATTAGCCTGAGCAACAGACAAGATCCAGCCCCAATTAAAACAAACAGGCAAAAACACACACACACACAGGCACACGTGCACACACACACAATGAGATATTATTTCACACTCAGTAGGATAGCTTAAACAGGAGAATAATGTGTGGTGAGGATGTGAAGAAATTGGAACCCTGTTGCATTGCTGGTGGAAATGCAAAATGGTGCAGCTGCTGTAGAAAACATTTTGTCGTTCTTCAAAAAGTTTAAAAGAATCTCTATATGACCTGGACATTCTGCTATATAGTGATGTGTATATTTAAGAGAAATGAGATGTGATATAGAAAACATCTAAATTCTAAAATTTAGTAGCTCTTCCCCGATGTCAGAGAAATCATCCATATCTTTTTATTGGTTACATACAGTTCAGGTTCTACCTCTGAGGAAGCAGAAGCAGAGTGGTATGATGAGCTTGTTACTCCATAGTTTCTAGAAACAAGTTCTGAAGATTTGGTCTTCTCAGCCATCTCTGGCCCACTTTGACCTAGAGAAAGTGTGCTGATGCTGTGATTTCACATAAACCCTTTGCTTTCCCAGTCATCTTTACAGCATTTATTCAATGATCTGTGAACACTTGCTCTTTGTAAAGCAGTGGGAACTATCCCAATTGTTCCTTCCTCCTGAGCTCAAAGAAAATTGAGACTTCCTTTTTCTATCTGTGAAACCCACTGATTTGTAGTGTTTCCTTGCTTCCGTTTTTATAAGTTTCTTTTGCTTTAGTATTGCCTGCCCCATCCCCACCCTGACATTTTCCTCAAGATGACTGTTACATTTTTAAAAGCCTTTTAATAAAAATCTGCCACTCCCATAGAAGAAGCTAGTGAAAGCACCTAAAGATACTTTACACTTAACATGCAAGATGAGATGGTTCCTTCCTGCCTAGGGCTTCAGACTCTTCACAGCTTTATAGATTTCTTTATAGGATGAACTGAGATAGATGATTTCCCTAGATGCCTTTTTCTTTTCTGTTTCTTCCCTAGCTTGTGCTATAGAGCAGTCATATCTTCCTCCTACCTCAGCTTGCCTTTATAAATAGTCTCACTGCACTTTAAGCAGGTGTTCTACAAATTCCATGCTACCCAGATATGCATTGCTACCTGAAAAACACTTCTCTTTCAATCATGGCTACAACATTATATTGGTTTTCTATTATTATGTAACAAATGACCCCACATGTGGTAGCTTAAAACAACATGAAATTTGATATCTCATAGTTTCTGTGGGTCAGGAGTCCAGTTTGGTCCTTGCTTGTTGTCTCATAGACTGTATTTAAGGTGTTGCCTGGGCAGCATTCTCATTTGTAGGCTTGACTGGGAAAGAATCTTCTTCCAAGCTCGCTCAGATTGTTGGCAGAATTCATTTCTTTGCAGTTTTAGGACTGAAGACCCTGGCTTCTTGCTGGATGTCAATTGGAGATCACTCTCAGTATCTAAAGGGCACCTGCAGTTCTTTGCCATGTGGGCTTTCCCAACATGGCCACTTCATTAAGCCAGAGCAAGTGTGCTAGAAGATGAAGTTATGTAATGCAGTATTATCATGGGGGTGACTTCTCCTCACCTTTGCCATATTTGGTTGATTAGAATCAAGTCACATATCCACCCACAGACTCAAGATGGAATTACATAAAGCATGAACACCAGTAGGTGGGAATCATGGGGAGTCAGGTTAGAGACTGTCCCCACCAACAGTAGCAAGAAAAGGTTTAGGTTCACCATCTACTCTCATTTCTTTCATTTCATTCAGCCAGATAGGTCTATTCTATTTTCTTGTCCCATTGTTGTTTAGTACCACCTTCTATTTCTCCCAGAAGTTTTTCTCAAAACTCTTTTCAAGTTGCCACAGATTCTCTGACGTTCATATTGTTCCTGAGATTATATTTTCTCTCTTTTCTTCCTTAATAAGGAAACAGGAAACCTCAATTCCACCTACCAGCTGAAGTAATCATTAAGCATAATTTGTGGTGGTCTTTGTTAATTTGTTTCCTTTTTAACCCAGGTGTCTTTCCTAAGACTTCTGCTGGCACAAGGATAGCCAGTTTTTTTGTTTGTTTATTTTTCTCACTAGTCATTTATTTTTACCTATCACTTATCTCGTTGAGAGAGGCAACCTGTCCTGGGCCATACTGCGGATGCCAAAAATGCAAGGTTGTTTCTTATCCATTTCTCAGCATTATATATGCAACAAGCAACTTTGAGGGTTAAGGTAATGTCTACTCGTGGACAAAGATCAGGCTTGTTTCTTCTTACTGTAAGAGCAGTGAGTCCCGAAAGTTCGTCCTTCTCTGCTACAATGTGGCCCACTGCATGTGCAGGCATCTATCATAGACCCTGTGCCAACCCCATGGGACTTAGGAGACAAGGCGAACTGATGCAAAGAAAACATGGTGAAGTTTTTGCTGTGGCTGTACTGTGAGTAGTAAAGGCCTTTATCTCTGACTTGGGAGTCTGTGTCTTCTACCAGCATTCATGAAATAGTAGGATAGTTTGTTAACTTGCAAATAAAATCGCAGACTCTGTACAATTCTTGACAATCACTATCACTTGTTTTTCTAGAAGCTAAAGCTGATTTTATTAATTTCTCAAGCACTGCAGGTACATATCTTGAATACTAGAGCAACATCTCTTTTAATCAAAGTGTCCTGTAGTGTAAATTTGATACTCAGTTATGCATCAAGGGCTTTAGCCTAATTGGTTTCTTCCCCACAATTTCTTCCCAAAACTAAAGCTATGTCACCTTTAAAATGACTTGGTTAATCTATGTGTGGTATTGATCTGATATAGATGACAAGTTGTTGGCTGTTTTCCAGAACCTCCACAGTTGAGGGGTACAGAGTGGCCCCTGCAGCTATGATCCAACTAGGGGTGTTTGGCATTCAGCTCCTGGGGAGAGGGCAGATCAGTTTTCTGTCTCAAACTTATTTGGCCATGTAAACATTTTTGGATCACACCCACCAGCATTATCTGTCTAGGTACAGTTGTTCCAAGGGTCTTATTTGAAAAACTATGGTTTAGAGGTTTCTTTGGGAATGGGGTTGGAGTTGGATTTAGAGGTATGGTCGACAGGGATGGGATTGTGGTTAACATGAAGTTTAGGCTAGAGCTACACATGAGGTCATGTCTTATGTATGGGTTTTGTAACTGGGGAACCAGGACCTGGCTCTTCACGGTTTCCCGAGGATAACCTGGACTGGGTGTGTCTACCTGGTTTGTTCTTCCCTTGTGTCTTCTGTCAAAGAGTCTGAGAGTCAGGACTCTGCAAGGATGGAGGCAGCGGTAAATTGGGGGCCCTCGGGGTGATGGGTGTGTAGTGAAAGGACAGGGCTGCTGAAGAAGACAGTGGACTCTTCCTGACCCTGACATTCTTTAAGAGCACACAACCACATTGTTGAGACCAGGGGTATGCACATGAATCCAAAACTATCCTACTAAAGGACAAGCAATAGGACAGAAATGACAAACCAGGGTTTAAAGGAGAGGTGAGCCTGGCCTGAGGTAGCCTAGAGAATTTATGGAGGAGAGGGGCTTTGCGGGATGGATTTGGACTGCATGTGTGTCTGTGAGTCTGTGAGATGGGCTATGTATGTTCTGTGTGCAAACCTCTCTTTGTTTCTGCATGTGTCTTTGTGCCTGTGTCTGCTCAAGCATGTCTGATGCAGGGTGTTCATGAGTCCAAGAACACCCAAGTCATGTCCAAGGAAGAAATAAGTATGTCTTTCTTGACATGATTGTGCTTACTCTAAACTATTAGGTTGGTGCAAAAGTAATTGCAGTTTTTACCATTATGGCAAAACCATATGTGTGTAATTCTGCCCTGGCCCCTCACTGTATCTTCCCCTATTTCCTGACATATCCCAGCTGCTAGCACAGTTTACTGCAAGGAGGGCTTCCCTTCCCGCCGCCTGGATTCCCATGGGTCAAGCTGCCTGTCCAGGGACCTGCCCCTGTGGCCTTTGTAGTAGGCCTGACCTTAGAAGTGATACACTCTGGAAATCCCCTAGTATGCTACTTGCCTGGCCATGGACCAGGCAAGAACATGAGAGAAGTTTATAGTGGAGGAGAAGAACAAGGCAGGAAAGGGGGCCAGCTGGCAGTATCCACCCCTTCGTCTGGAAATTGGATCTCATTGGCTTCTTCCTAGGCCCCCCTCTTGCTCCCCATGCTCTCCCAGGGTCATGGCCTCACTGTCTCTTCTGGGCATGAGAATGCACAGACCTCTGCAAGCCTGGTCAGCCCTGTCAGACACCTGGCCCTTTGTGTCCCCAAGCACTTTACATGACTGCATTGTGCTTACCTCTCATATTCCCACCTGAGCTCAAGGAAGTCCTTCCTTCTCTTCTGTCCCTACAGTGGACACAGGGACCATCCTGACCCTTCCATCTATGACAGGCCTGGCCCAGACCATGGGCTCCAGAGCCCAGGCAGAGCATTTGGCCTTGGTTGGCTGGTTAGGCAGCAGAGGCCCAGCCACCTCCCACATGGTGCAGGAAGCAGTGTCTCCATGGAGTCTGTTCCTGTGCTCATCCTGTCTTCTTTGCCCTCTCTGCCTGGGCTGCAGTGAACAGATACAGAAGCAAAGCAGCCACGGTTCCTGTCCTCAACAACTCACTGTTGAACAACAGTGATGTTGTGGAGAAGCCACTCTTCTCTCACTGCTGGTGGTCAGTTGCCTGAAAATTCCTCCAGCCAATTCTGAAGTGCCCTTCTGGAAAGCCCAAGAGAAGAGCTCTAGAAGATCACGGCTATTCACCATGACATGATGTTACCTGAGTATGCCAGAGGTGAACCAAAAGATACCAAGCAAACACTGATGTACTCCTAGCATCTACCCCCAAATCTGAAGTAATAAATTCTTGAGTTTATACTCTACATGAGACTTTTGCTTCTCACCTCTCTTCACTCTGGGGAAGAGAGAACATGGAGTTGTGCTGGGGTGTTGGGATGGGATGAGCAAAGCTTTATCCACCAACAGCATTCTGCATAAGTCATAGGCTATGACCCTGATTTCTCTTAGCTCTCAACTTTGCCGAGAACTCAGAATCCTGAAGCTATCAATTTCAGCTCATCTCTCTGTGGCCCCAAACAGGTAAGAGCCTGTGGGGAACCATGGGAAAGACCTGCTCCACACTAAACCAGGATGTGTGCACACTAACCCCTGGCTCCCCACCCCGAAGCTGCTGTGACCCTCCTAAGTCCATTCTCTTCATTCTGTGCTTCCCTCTATTCTCCTGGCTGCGTGGCTGCCTGCCCAGATCCCACCAGGCAGGGAGGATGTGCCTGTCACAAGACCTCCTTTGATATTTGGGGATGCATTAGGAAAACACCTGTTGAATGTTGGTTCAGGAGGCCTGAATCTTGTGCTTCTCTGTCCTGGAGACTACCCATGGGCTGGGCCCCCATCTCTTAGGCATAGAATCAGCATTCAGAGGAGGGATACATCCATGTTTCTTCCCATCCTGGCTCTTCTGTATCCAAGCCGTGGACACATTGTGCTAAACGCTGGGGTCCTATCAGAGGAAGCAAGTCGTGCTGTCTCTTCCTCCTGATGATAGGATGGTGAATGATCGTGGGTTTCCTTAGGAACCAGGGGCATCCCACTGTACCTCAAAACATGTTATAAAGAAGTCACAGTACTTCTTGCCCTTTCTCTAGCTCTTGGCTCCTCTGTGGTAGGTCAGAAGGAGAATGCAGAGATACTACCTCCTGAGGGATAATAACTGTCCAAAATCGAGGTCCTTCTCATCTTCTCAGGGCAGCCTATTTGTCTTCCTGCTTCCCAGTCCCCTCCTCCCACCCATATAAGCTCTGTGGTCCCTCACCTCACTGAGCACTGGGATGCCACCCTTGCCCTGCTTCTCCATCTCTAGCCATGCTCTTGCCCTGTTTCTCCATCTCCATCCCCATGCCTTGCTCAGGCTCCATGCATTTAGAGCTTTTTCTGTGATCTCTCCTGCTGGTACAGTATTCCAAGAGCACCTGCTGCACAGTTATCAGCAGCGACTTTTAACCCCCTTTCCCTGCCCACCTACATACTCACACTGCCACCAACTGGTTGGGCGTTAATAGAAACTTGCCATAGTGACTTCCAGAATCCCTCTTTACCTCCAGCTTTCTAGCTTTGGCTCTCCATACCATTTCCCCTTTCCACAGCCATGGTCCCTTCCCGGCTCCTCACTCGTCCCTCTGGGTCTGTACCCACACTCTCTTATTTTATTTTATTTTATTTTTTGAGACAGAGTTTCGCTTTTGTTACCCAGGCTGGAGTGCAGTGGCGCGATCTCGGCTCACCGCAACCTCCGCCTCCTGGGTTCA